GGCTGACGCCGATCCCCTTCGGGCTGCAGAACGCCGTCTTCGCGGTGAGTCCTGGCCCAGGCCGTGTGGCCAAGTAAGAAGCTGGCTGGAAGAATGGCTTGCAGCATGGTGGCCGGTGTCACTGATGGAGGTTGTCTCCTTTCCCAGGAAAAAACCTTGGTTTCTGTCTCTTTTAACAGCAGTAAAAGCAACCCCCTGCCTGCTTTTGCTAGTGGCTCTTCTGTGCTTGCGGAGGGACGGCAGTCAGATTTTCGAGGCGCCGTGTTCAGTGGCATTGTGCTTGACTTGCTCTCTGGCTTTCGAGGCTGTATTCTGGTGTTAGAAAGGAGGACCACGGTGCTGTGTACCAAAATCTGCAGAGAACTCGACAGTTTTAAAGTGGCTGTGTTTTTAAAATGATCCAAGTGGGAGGAAAAGTTGTATTTTTAAGCAGTCTTGCCAGCTCTCCCTAAACTACTTAATATAAATAATCATATGGGAAAGGAAGAAATGCACAGATTAAAATTCTTGCTCAGTTTGGTTGGTTTGTAGCATACATCTGGCAAATCCATACAGGGTGTTAAGTGCATACAGACCGGAGACGTCACGTATTTTGGGCAGAGCAGTCAGGTGTAGGCTCAGAGCTGGAAAGAGACTGTACACCAAAGTGGTACTGAAAGTTAGTTTAAACCTGAGTTTGGAAAAGGGTTAGTCTTGCTTTTCTTTCTACTTTTAGATGAAGATTGCTACATTCTTTAAGAATAATTATTTAAAATTTATAATCTTATTATTGGCTTTGATCATCTTAAAGGAGAAAGTAAAGAAGAATGTAGAGGATGCCCTTTTTGAGTACCATCATGCTGATGATGACAATTTCAGACCCTCAGCTCTTCCTGAGTGCTTTGTCTGAAGGATCTGGTTTTGGCTGTGTGTTACGCCTCAATTGTGTCTGCTAACTCGGTGAAATCAAAACAAAGCAAACCAGATTGTGAAATACTTTAAACATTTAACAGTAACTTGTATCTTCTTTAAATGTAAGAGACCCTCTAAACAAGTGTTTTGGCCTGCCACTTTCTTATAGCACACTTTCCTTCGCCTGTCTGCAGTCCTGATCCTGTACCCTTCTAAAGCACTTGCTTAGTTTTGACAGAATCACCTGGTTGAAATGAGTAGGTCACTGAATACGAGATTTGTTATTTAAGAAAAAATTAATCCACACAATTTTTAGGGATTAACACACACATTAAATACTTAAAATTGCGGTGTATAAAACTGGTGTGTGCTGGGGCATTTGTCTCAAGAGCTGCAATCTCTGCCTGTAAAAGCTGTAGCAATTTATAATTTCTTTTTAAGTAGATCCCTTAACCATTTTCTTGTTATGAATGAGAAGAACCTCAGCTGTTTTATTTATTTACCTATATTACTGCAGGACTGAGGAAGCTCAGACCCATGTGTCTGGAAGCAGAGTCTCCCCAGAGCCCAAGGTCCCAGTGTAGCAGATGAAGCTTCTGCTAGAGTGTGACCCTCCTAAAGTGGGGAGAGCTGTTGCGCTTTGGTTGTTCACAGCTTTTGTGTGTCACTTGAATTAGTCAGCAGATGTTGTAGAGTAGTATTGGATTTGAAAAACTGACCAGAGAATTACCAAATTAAATTATTTCTTTCCTGGCGTAACCATTCTGTTGGAAACACGATTCGGCAGAGTAGTCAGGCCAGTGCAATATTAAAATGATGCTGTCAATTAGTGTTTTGTATTCTCTAAGTACTGCAAGCTAAATAATTTTCTTTCCAAGTGGAAGGTTTCAGTGTTAAAATAACAGATAGGAAATGAGATTAAAGCAGATTCTTGGGTATGCCAAATAACTTGGATGTTGTCTGCTAAAATTACTTTGGGTTGCATTTATTACTACAGATCTATTACTTTGCAGCATAGTCAAATAAAGCATGGTGTGCTCAATTTTTAACTGAGAACATTTAATATGAACTACTAGATTAGATTACTGAAAAATAAAAACATTGCATGCAAATCAGGGAATTCAAGGCAGTTTCTCACTGTGAGTCAAGTTTAAGTAACATATAGAATACAAAATTCTCCCTACACAGACTGAGCTGTCATTTCCTTGAAATCTGACTTATTTGAAAACGTAATGCTCTAATTAGGTTTAAAATGCGAGGGGGGGTGGAGTACCATCTATCCATTCCCTGTGCTAGCAACTTCAGCGATGAATGTGAAAAGGATTGCTCTTAGTAGTAGAGGAAAGAATGGTGAACTAAAGAAAACCTATGCATCTTTAATTTTCCAGCAGTCTGGTCTATGCGTGTTTTCTATGTGCATATTTATAAGTAAACTGGAGATACTGAGAATACTTAAATGAGATGGAAGGGAGGAAGTGGCACATGAGGTCCAGGACAAGGCATAACCTTGATGTGAGAGGGGTCATCTGCAGGGCTGGGATTAACAGGTTTCTGCCAGCACTTGTTCAGTGGTATTTACCATCTGCTGAGGGTTTTGGGGAGGTTGAATTGCAGAGGAACATAGAGAAGGAAGGAATTGCTTCCTGGCATTTGATTAGTGATGGGATCGTATTATTTGAAACAGCACAAGAAGAAAATTGTCATGAAATTCTTAGCTCCTCACTAGCCAGACATGAACATTTTGCTTCTTAAGGTCATTCTGCTGCTCCTTGAGAAAGCAGTGGTAGCAGGAGCAGTGGGGTAATGCGTTTACATGCCTTAAGACCTAGAAACTTCTTAACTGAAAGCATGTTTGTATTTCTCTTTGAGTAGGTTTTGCTTAATTGTTGCTCCTGGGGTGCCAGGGTGGCCTGTGCTGCTGGGGTGGGCTGATGGCTCTTACTGAAGTGTTTGTCCCCACACAGCCCTCTCCCCTTGGCAGCTCTGAGTGTTTTGAAGGCAGGTTGGTAAGGAGGCCTGGTATGCAGGTTATCATCTCCTTCCCACCGGTGTGACCCTGGAGCTAGATTTGTGCAAACTGATTATTTGTAGTGGCAGGTGTAGGTTAGATCAGAATTCATATTTCTTTTTTTCTGTCTTTGAGAAGAATATCACATGGAAGAAATAATCTGACTAAAAAAATCTGAGTGTCCAAGTGTGCATCTCTGGTTCCAGAAATGCACACAGTGAAATCAGAATTGAAGAAATGGTATTTGCTTTGCAGGAACATGCAGGCTGCTTACTTTGCTTGTTGGATAGCTAAATTATTTTTTAGAAAATAAAGAGCATCAGAACTGTCCTTTGCTCTCGGTTGCAAAACCTACCTGATCCAAAATGCAGAGATTCATAAGTTGAGGGGAGAGAAATCTGCTGCAATCCCCAAAGGCGTGTGAGCCCCTAACAAAGACCTGACACAGGTGTTTATTCTTTGACAGGACTGAACCAAAGGTGTCAACTGCAAAGAATATACAAAAATTCTACCAGACAAAGCCTATCCAAGGCTTAGTGGGAGAATTTCTGGCTAATCTTCTTGTTACCAGAGCAGTTAGGTGGTTCTTAATTTTATTTAAATACATTGCTATGGCCCATAACACAGTTGCATCCATGCTTGCTTTGGGATTTCACTTAATTTTTGCTGGCTTGAGCTTTCATTAGAGAGAGAGTCCTGGTAGCCTCTGTTTGGCAGCTTGGCCATGCAGACCCCAGTCTGATAGATAAAGTTCATAGAAGGAAAGATATGTAAAGCTGTAAGTTTTATTGAAAATTTCTTAGTTTTCTTAGGAACGCTGTCTGCTTCCTGTGTCTTCTGGGATACCACTGTAGGTCTAAACCTTGCAAATGGGCACCTACAAACCCCCCCCTCCGCCCTTAGCTTTCATTTTAGAGGGAAGTACAAGTTGCAGTCCAGCATATCCATTGGTAGCCTCCCTTTCATTTGGAAACAGTCTCTCTCATGGCCCAGGAGGTCCAGTTGCTTCAGGACAGATCCAGACGTGCAGACATGTTGCTCTGCAACTGAAGTGTCCTTAATACATATACAGAAATGAAAGAGGTGCCCGGGAGTGTTAAAACAATCTTTGGGAAGTTTCCCAGCTCCATTAGATTTAATGACAGTGTCCTACTTAGCAAATCTTGCCTCAGCGTTAGTATTTCAGAGACTTTTAATAGCAGCTTCTTCAATCCCTTGGCAATATGGGAAGTTTTGGTTGTGCATTCTTATTACATGGCCCAGATTACTATAGTGTATAAAAAAATTAAAAAAACCCAAAACTTTTCAAAGCATTGGTCAAATGTGAAGTTTGACATAATTATGTAGTGCTTTTTTATTATAAATCTAAATTAGTCTTGTACAGAGAAAGAAGTGTATTACTTGTGTTGCCGGTATACATTTCAGTCTGTGGGAAAGTATAATTTGCAGTGTGAAGTTTGGAATTGGCTTATTGGATCTTGTTCCAGTGACTTACTCTTAATCTTTATGCTTCATTGCGTTTTTCTCCTCCATTGCCCTTCCTTCCTCCCAAAAACTTTCCACTGATGGTGTTTAGAGCTCTGAGAATTCAGCACTGTGACTTTCATAGTAACCAAAGTTTATTTTAAGAATAGTGTGATGAAATGAGTAACTTTGCTGCTATTCTCTTGTCTTTGACATTCTACAAAGCTGTCAAGGTCAGTAATTTCCATGTAGGCTCCCAGTGTTAGGGGCTGGTCTTAATTAGAATCATAGAATGGTTTGGGCTGGAAGGGACCTTAAAAATCATCTAGTTCCAATTCCCCTGCCATGGGCAGGGACATCTTCCACTAGCCCCGGTTGCTCGAAGCCCCATTCGACCTGATCTTGAACACTTCCAGGGAGGAGTTGTCCACAGCTTCTCTGGGCAACATTTTCCAGTGCCTCACCACCCTTGTAGTTAAGAATTTCTTCCTTCTATCTAATCTAAATCTACCCTCTTTCAGTTTAAAGCCGTTACCCCTTGTCCTTTCGCTACATGCCCTTGTAAAAAGTCCCTCTCCAGCTTTCTTGTAGGACCCCTTTAGGTCCTGGAAGGCCAGGCTATAAGGTGTCTCTGGAGCCTTCTCTTCTTCAGGCTGAACAACCCCAACTTTCTCAGCCTGTCCTCATAGGAGAGGTGCTCCAGCCTTCTGATCATCTTTATGGCCCTCCTCTGGACCCACTCCAACAGGTCCATGTCTTTCCTGTGCTGAGGGCTTCAGAGCTGGATGCAGTACTCCAGGTAGAGTCTCACGAGAGCGGAGTAGAGGGGCAGAATCACCTCCCTTGACCTGCTGGTCATGCTTCTTTTGATGCAGCCCAGTATATGGTTGGCTTTCTGGGCTGCAAGTGCACCTTTCTGGGTCATGTTGAGCTTCTCATCAACCAACACCCCCAAGTCCTCTTCCTCAGGGCTGCTCTCAATCCATTCTCCACTGAGCCTGTATTTGTGCTTGGGATTGCCTTGACCCATTGTCAAGACCTTGCACTTGGCCTTATTTAACCTCATGAGGTTCGCACAGGCCTATGTCTCAAGCCTGTCAAGGTCCTGCTGGGTGGCATCCCTTCCCTGCAGTGTGTTGACTGCACCACACAGCTTGGTGTCATCATCAAAATTGCTGAGAGTGCACTGAATCACACTGTCCCTGTTGCTGACAAAGATGTTAAACAATGCCGATCCCAATACCGACGACCCCTGAGTACGCCACTCATCTCTGGTCTCCACTTGCACATCGAGCCCTTGGCTGCAGTTCTTTGCGTGAAACCATCCAGCCAATTCCTTAGCTGCCAACTGGTCCATCCGTCAAACCCATGTCTATTGAATTTAGAGACAAGGATGTCATGTGGGACAGTGTCAGATGCTTTGCATAAGTCCAGGTAGGTGACATCAGTTGCTGTTCCCTTATGCATGAACACTGTAGCCCCATCGTAGAAGCCACCAAATTTGTCAGGCACGATTTGCCCTTTAGTGAAACTGTGTTGGATGACACCAGTCTTCTCCTTATTGTCCATAGTTTCCAGGAGGAACTACTCCATGATCATGCTGGGCACAGAGGTGAGACTGACTGGCCTGTAATTTCCTGGGTGTTCCTTTTTTCCCTTTTTAAAAATGAGGGTTATGGTTCCCCTTTTTCAGTCAGCGGGAACTTCACTGGACTGCCATGACTTTTCAAATATGACGGATAGTGGCTTAGCAACTTCCTCCACCAGTTCCCTCAGGACTTGTGCACCTTCAGGTTCCTTAGATGTTCTCGAACCTGATCTACTACAGTGGGCGTTTCTTCATTTTCCCAGCCCCTGCCTTTGCCTTCTGCAGCCTAGGTGATGTGGCTTAAGCACTTGCTGGTGAAGATTGAGGCAAAAAAGTCATTGAGTACCTTAGATTTCTCCATATTCCAGGTAACCAGGTCTCCTGTTTCCTTCTGGAGAGGGCCCACATTCTCCCTAGTCTTCCTTTTATCACTAATGTACCTACAGAAGCTTTTCTTGTTGCCCTTTCTATCAGGGCTTTAGCTTTCCTAACCTGATCTCTGGCTGCCCAGGTAGTTTCTCGGTATTCCTCCCAGGATACCTGGGGAGGCTTCCACACCTCTGTAGGCTTCCTTTTAGTGTTTGAGTTTGTCCAGGAGCTCCTTGTTCATCCATGCAGGCCTCCTGGCATTTTTTCCCAACTTCCTTTTTGTTGGGATGCATCACTCCTGAGCCTGGAGGAGGTGATCCTTGAATAATAACCAGCTTTCTTGGGCCCCTCATCCTTCCAGGGCTTTATCCCATGGTACTCTACCAAGCAGATCCCTGAAGAGGCCAAAATCTGCTCTCCTGAAGTTCAGGGCAGCGTGCTTGGTGTGTGCCCTTCTCACTGCCTGAAGGATATTGAGCTCCACCATTTCATGGTCATTGCAGCCCTTGAGCTTCACATTCCCCACTAGTCGCTCCTTGTTGCTGAGATCAAAGTCCAGTATAGTACCTCTCCTCATTGGCTCCTCTCACTTGTAGAAGGAGATTATCATCAATGCATTCCAGGAACCTCCTGGATTGCTTATGCCCTGCTGTGTTGTCCCTCCAACAGATACTGGGGTGGTTGAAGTCCACTTGTTAGACCTTGTTTTATTACTATGTGATCAGTTGGATTATCTCGAAAATTCCTTAGACTGCTTATTTCAAAATTGCCCTTTTCGTACTCTTAACCCATAGTTTCCTCTGATTTCAATTTTCCTGTGTAAATATCTCTTGGCCTCTTGGCTCTTGCATTTAATATTTCCGAATGGCTACTCACTCTAATTTAGCTAGTACTGTGTGCTTTGCTCCCATGTAAACTGTACACATACTGACTCAGAACAGAAATTTCGCATCCGAGAGGAAAATATCTTGAAGTATTATTAGTGTTTTTTCCAGAGAAACTAACAAAAGCTATAGCCATGTGTACTATTTTGTTCACTAATTGAAGCGTGATGTAAAATATCTTTGGTATTAATGATACCTTATTTTGATGATAACCATGTATATCATTATAGATATAGATAGATACCGCTGATAGAGATGACTGCTAGATACATATGTATGTTAATGAGCTATATAACTTCCCTTGCAGAGGCAAATTGTATCTGCTGTTCTGTTTACCTAGATCATATTTAATAAGTGACATTTTGAACAATGGCCTCTTTTATTAGTTGCCATACATGTAAAATGCAAAGCAAATAGATTTTTGCTTTAGACCTTCACATGTGATAATGTAATTTCTTCCTGCGAGCAACTTCTCATAAATTGTAGGGCTCCGTTCACCATGAAGAAATAAAGATCTTTAACGAACAGTGTAATTGCATCCTTAGTTAATGACTTTTGCACAGAGATGTTGCATAATATAAGATGAAATGGGACTAAAACCTGGTAACTTTAAAAAGGCCAGATGAAAACTAGCCACATACTGTTTTATTGTATTATCTTAGATTCACACACAGCGGAAAGTTGCAAGTGAAGGAATGTAAGAAATTCTTTCATTATTTTGCATGGATGATTGTGGGAGCGGCAGTCTGGTTGTTTGTGCACATAGACTGTGTTGGAGCTGTGCTTGATTTCTTACGCTGTCTTTTACTCAGATTACAGATTTGTCACTACCCAACTACCTGATGGCTTCTTCAGTTGGGCTGCTTCCTACTCAGCTCCTGAACTCCTACTTGGGCACTACCTTGCGTACCATGGAAGATGTGATTGCAGAACAAAGTGTTAGTGGCTATTTTATATTCAGTTTACAGGTAAGTTAAAATGATTGCTTTCATGGATTTTGGTAACAGTAACGTTAGTCTCTTTCTGATTGCTTGGGTAAGCAATTACTCTTGGAAACAGTCATGTTCTTGTGTTTGGGTTTATTTCTATATCCACCTAACTTCTTTCTCATGTACTGTACCAGTGGAATTCAAGACAGAATTTTTCTTCTGGAGGCAGCAGACAAGTTTCTTTCCTGTAGCTTTGTCTCTTCAAGTCATTGAATGTTTGCTTTGGAGACTGCACGCCCATAGGAATGTGTGTGAGACATAGAGTGATTAAGTGTTGTGGATTTGTCTTTCAGGTTCTACAATCCCAAGTGTAAAAGGAGTGGGCTGCAGGAGGTTTAGGGGGCTGCTCCCTAGTCTGAGGCAGCTGGCCTCTTACAGACTGAGAGCCAAGCAAGTATGGCATGTGGTATTGAAAAGTAGCAGGTTTTAAAAAGTGTTTAATTTGTAACTCTGTTACTGGTATTTTCATTCGGTTGTGTAAAACAGAGCTGGTGTTTCTTTTTCACAGGCTTATTGACTGCTAGATAACCAGACAAATGGATTTCCAGTGTACTGTTTTCTTTTGGTTTTGTTTTCTTCTGTTAGAAAAGTTTAATTCTCTGATACCTCACGTGACACAAAGCAGAACTTAGTCAATGTTCTCTTTTTCTCTTTCTGCCACAGTTTTGTCAAGTTTTCCTCTCCTGCCCTCTGTGGTAATCTGCTGCTTAATTTTAGACTTGTCAAACCACCCCTACACAAAAGCCCATGTGCCACCAGCTGTGAGGTAGTGTGCTCAGGGTGTGCAGAGCCAGCGCTTGTGCAGTGTTCACTGTTAGCACTGAACACTCCTGATTTTGTATAGGTGTTCAGGATTAAAAGTACTGTAGAAGTACAATTTTGCTAATGCCTAAATCAAAATATCCTAATTTTGCAAGTGAGTAAATTCATGAGAAGTATATAGTACCTTTACGTGAGCTTAGCCAATGAAATAATTTGTCAATAAATCTTGGAGGTGAGCCTGAAGTCTGAGACCATTATGAGCATAGAGATCAGGAGTATTTCAGACCCAGATGATATGTTAAAATCTCCTCTGACAGTGTCTTTACTTCAAGCTATGTTTGACCAGCAGTTACCATTGCAGACTTTCGGTTGGTACCACAGTCATTTATCTTCCTCAGATCTTGCCACCTGTCCTGGTTTCTGCTGGGTTGGAGTTACTTTTCTTTCTGATAGTTGGTATAGCGCTGTGTTTTGGATTTTGGATGAAAATAATGTTGATAACATACTGATGTTTTCAGTTGTTACAAAGCAGTCAAGGACGCTGGCCTGCCAGCGAGAAGGCTGGGGGTGCACAGGAAGCTGGGAGGGGGCACAGCCAGGACAGCTGACCCAGACTAGCCAAAGG